CTACCACTTGAGCCACAGCACCACTTCCAGCTTTTTTCTTTTTGCTTATGTGGTGCTGAGAAATTGAACCTAGGGCCTCATGCATGCAAGGCAAGCGCTCTACCACTGAGCCACCTTCCCAGCCCTGTCACCTGTTTTGAAAAAAAAAAAAGAATGTCACCTGTTTTGTACCCAGCATGTCGGGACACGTGGCTAGACTGTGGGAAGAACAGAGGCCCAAATGAATAGCCACAGACCTACCACAGGACAGACATCTTGAGGCTGTGTGGTAGAACAGTACATAGGAATGGGGTAGGGAAAAGAAAGCAATCCCCAGAACAGAGAGATGAGGTCCGGGGAAGCCCCTCCCAAAAGGACTAGCAGCAGGTGGGTAAGGGAAACGTCCCTGACATGGAGCAAGGCAGCTCTGGAGAGACCCAGAGGCAGTAATTATTTGCTCTTTCTAGATTAAGAAACTAAGGGTGGATGGAGGACCGAAATGTATGTTTGAAATGTATGTCAGTTTGTATGTAAGGGATGGACGAGATGACTAGATGTATATATGTAAGGTAGATGAATGTGTATAACTATATGTGGGGTAGATGGATATATGAGTGGATGGATGAGTGAATGGATTGATGGACTGATGGGTGGTAGGTAGATGGATAAGTGGTAGGTAAATGGAGAAATACACATGTATGAATGGATTGGTGAACGAGTGGTGGCTGCTGGCTGCTGATAGATGGATGAATGGATAGATGAATAGATGGAAGGGTGGATGAATAGGTAGCTACATCATGGGTGAATGGATGGGTAGATGAATGGATGGATGGCCAGGTGGGTGGAAGGCTGGATGGTGGATGGATGGATGAATGGATGTGTGGGTAGCTGAATGGACGGATGATGGGTGGATGGAGGAGCCCCCAGATTGCCCCATTGGTGGATGAGTCTGGAATGGCGATGCTGGCTGGCTAGCTAAAAGCACGCATGATTCCGGCCTGCTTTCTGCCCACAGCTGCCCATTGTGGCATCATCCATCGTGTCCTTATACTTTCTGGAGCTGACGGACCTGTTCAAGCCGGCCAAAGTGGGCTTCCAGTGCTATGACCGTACGCTGTCCATGCCGTACGTGGAGACCCATGAGGAGCTCATCCCCCTGCTCATGCTGCTCAGCCTGGCCTTCGCCGCCCCGGCGGCCTCGGTGAGTCCTGTGTGGGACATGGGCAGGAGGGCCCTGGCCTGGGGGCCAGCCTGAGCGCCGTCTTTGTTGGGCAGATCATGGTTGGCGAGGGCGTGCTGTACTGCCTGCAGTCCCGACTGTGGGGACGCAGCGGGGCCCCTGGTGGGGCTGAAGGCAGCATCAACGCAGGTGGCTGCAACTTCAACTCCTTTCTGCGGCGCACTGTGAGGTTTGTGGGTGAGTCGCTGGATGACACCTGAATCCTGGGGTAGAAGCCCTCCCGAACCCCTAGATCCCTTGCCCCAGCCCTGACCACCCCCTCACCTGGCAGGCGTCCATGTGTTTGGGCTGTGCGCCACGGCCTTGGTGACCGACATCATTCAGCTAGCCACGGGTTACCACGCTCCCTTCTTCCTCACTGTGTGTAAACCTAACTACACGCTGCTGGGCACGTCCTGTGATGCGAACCCCTACATCACCCAGGACATCTGCTCCGGCCATGACACCCACGCCATCTTGTCTGCACGGTGAGTTGAGCGCCCAGTCTTGGCACTGTTCTGTTCACTCTAGTGAGCATATGGGGATACTGAGGCACAGAGCCTCTCTCCTCCTCCTATCAGTGGGATTGACATGATCATGTCTTACAGGAAGACCTTCCCATCCCAGCATGCCACTCTGTCAGCCTTCGCTGCCGTCTATGTATCGGTGAGTCGGATCCCCCCCTCCTCCCCCAAGGCGGGCCCCACATTTTCTCAGGGAGAGCCAGCTGTGGCCTCACTGTGCACCCCCCCGCCCCCAGATGTACTTCAACTCGGTCATCTCCGATACCACGAAGCTGCTGAAGCCCATCCTGGTGTTTGCCTTCGCCATCGCTGCTGGTGTCTGTGGGCTAACACAGATCACCCAATACCGCAGCCACCCCGTAGATGTCTACGCTGGCTTCCTCATCGGTGCTGGCATTGCTGCCTACCTGGTGAGTGGTGGGAATCTGGGGGCAGGCTGGCCACCAAGGAGGTCTTGAGGGAAGAGGAAGCCCTGGGGTCTCAGGCTGAGGTCACTCCGCCTGACACTGGGAACTCTGAAGCACCACATCCCTTAGGATGGAAGTCAGCCCTTAGCTCAGTTCTCAACCATGTCAGGTGCTGGTGGCTCACAACTGTAATGCAGTTCAGGAGGCTGAGATCTGAGAATTGCTGTTCAAAGCCAATCTGGGCAAGAAAGTCCCTGAGACTCTCATTTCTAATTAGCCAGCAAAAAAAGCTGCAAGTGGAGCTGTGGATCAAGTGGTAGAGCACTAAACTTGGGCAAAAAAGCTCAGGGAAAGTGCCCAGGCCCATTGTTCAAGCCCCAGGAATAGCACCAAGACAAAACATGCTGGGGCTTTGAAGATAGAACCCGTCCACTGGGAAACACATGCCTGTCCTCATGCTCAGTGGCAGGGGCACTTCCTAGGAAGCCACCAGCCTCATACTTAGCTTCATGTTCTCTAGGCCTGCCATGCAGTGGGTAACTTCCAGGCCCCACCAGCAGAGAAAACCACTCCCCCAGCCCCTACCAAGGATGCACTGCGGGCCCTGACCCAGAGAGGTCATGACTCAGTTTACCAGCAGAACAAGTCAGTGAGCACGGATGAGCTGGGGCCTCCGGGGCACCTAGAGGGTGTATCCCGGCCTGTGGTTCGAGAAAAGACATCACTGGGCAGCCTGAAGCGTGCCAGTGTGGATGTGGATCTGCTGGCACCCCGCAGCCCCATGGGTAAGGAGAACATGGTGACCTTCAGCAATACCCTGCCCAGGGTCAGCACTCCCTCTCTGGATGACCCCGCCCGCCGCCACATGACCATCCATGTGCCCCTGGATGCCTCCCGCTCCAAGCAGCTCATCAGCGAGTGGAAGCAGAAATCCATGGAGGGCAGAGGCCTGGGCTTGCCGGATGACGCCAGCCCTGCCCACCTACGCGCCCCTACAGAGCCCATGGCGGAAGAGGAGGAGGAGGAGGAAGAGGAGGAAGAGGAGGAGGAGGAGGAAGTGGAAGAAGGGCCTGTCCCACCCTCTCTCTACCCTACAGTCCAGGCCCGGCCAGGACTGGGGCCTCGTGTTATCCTGCCGCCCCGGCCAGGCCCGCAGCCCCTGGTGCACATCCCCGAAGAGGGGGCGCAAGCAGGGGCAGGCCTGTCCCCCAAGAGCAGTGCAGCAGTACGGGCCAAATGGCTCATGATGGCTGAGAAGGGTGGGGCCCCTGTGGCTCCCGGGCCACAGCAGCCCCGCGTGGCTAACCCACCTCGGCTCCTGCAGGTGATTGCCATGTCCAAGGGTCCTGGGGGGCCTGGCCCTAAGGCAGAGACCGCCTCATCATCCAGTGCCAGCTCCGACTCCTCACAGTACCGGTCCCCATCAGACCGGGACTCGGCCAGCATAGTCACCATCGATGCACATGCGCCCCACCACCCTGTGGTCCATCTGTCTGCAGGCAATGCACCCTGGGAGTGGAAGGCTAAGGGGGCAGAGAGTGAGGGCGGGTATGAGCTTGGGGACCTGGCACGCAGCTTCCGAGGGCCCAAGCCGCCAGGTGTGTCCCCAGGCTCATCCATCAGTGATGTGGACCAGGAGGAGCCACGGTTTGGGGGGGTGGCCACTGTCAACTTGGCCACCGGCGAAGGGCTGCCCCCACTGGGTACAGCTGATGGGGTGCTGGGGCAGTCCAGCCGTGAGTCTACCCTGAGGCGTCAGGCCGCTGCCGGCCAGGGACTCTCAGGGCTGGCAGAGCGGGAGGCCGCAGAGGTGGAGGTGGAGAGCTACTACCGCAGAATGCAGGCCCGCAGGTTCCAGGACTGAAAGGGCACTGCCCAGGAACTGGGTATCTGGACAGAGACCCCATGGGCCAGGACTGGGTGGGCAAGGGAGGGGGCAGCTGAGCACCAATCAATAAAATTAACTGGTGACACAAGGCTTGAGCCATTTGGTGTGCTGATTGAGCAGGGAGCAGGACTAGGAGCTGGCTGAGGGCACCAGTCAGGGGTCTAGCTAGGTTCTTGCTCTACCAAGGAGCAGCAGGGCTTATATGCACAGGTGAACCCTGTTGCCGTCTGAAGGGAGGAAGCCCTCAGGCCAGGACACTGGCCTCCACCCTCCCTCCCCGGAAGCCAGGCGAGAAAAAGTGGGGAGAGGAATGGCTGGATGTGAGAAGAGACAGCAGCAAAGACAAGCAGGCCCAATGAGGAGGAGGTCAGAGGCACAGGACACAGGAGTTTATTCCAAGTCCAGGTACAGACGGCAGCTGCCTTCTACAGCGTCAACAGCAAGAAAGGGCTACGGGGAAGGCACAGGTTTGTTATAAAACGGTTTAATTGAGCTCTTTCCGCATTACAAGCCATCTGGGACGGGAGTGGAATGTACTGTGGCCAGTGCTGGCTCCACAGGCAATACTGAGCCTGTAATCGCTGGTATCAAAATATACATCTGTCACCATAGAAAACCGCATGTGCTGCCTCCGCATCTTACAACAGGTATAAAAAAATTATAAATATTTACACCCTTGCTACACTCCTTTATGGAACTTATGGAACCTCAGGACCCAAGGGTACCCCTCTTGCTGGGGACAAGTTGAGCCACAGGGCAGAGCATTTAAGACCAGGACTCGAGTCCTGCACCTGGGGCCTCAGCATCAGAGGCAGACAAGAAACAAAACTTTGGTCCAAAATTTGAAGGAAAAAAAAAAAAAAACCCTGAAAGTTTTAAAGAGTTTTTCAAGGCAGATTACAAGTGAGTGGGTAAGGCAACTGGAGGCTCAGAAAGAAGCCGGGCTGAGGATTGGGCTTCCTGCGCCTGCGCGAGCCAGCCGCGGCCGCCTGCTCCTGAAGCCTGGATCCCGCCTGTGACTTATTACAAAGAGTAGAAGTACAGCATAAGAGTAATACCACAAGGAGGAAGCTTAGATTACACTCATACCATTGCATCATCTTGCTATAAAAAGTTACTTAAAACTATGTCTCTTGCATATAAATGAAAAAGGATTAGGATATTTGGTCAACTGGAAATATTGCTAGGCACAGATATGTCTGCGACCGCATCCACGTATAATACAAAGGTTAGGAAGAGGCTCCATGGCGGAGGCAGGGACAGGCCAGAGCCCCTGGACTGTGAGGGGAGGAAGGGGGCAGCTGGGGACTTGGGATGATTATGTCACTTGATTAAAAGGTGGGGGTTGGCTGGCCTTGTTTCCTGCCAGCATAGGACACATGATCGTGAGGGAAGGCGTGGCTGCCTGTGGCTGCCTTGTTCACCTGCAGCAAGAGCCCGGGCCAGTCGCCCAAGTGCCTGTGGTCGATGCATGAATGGTGCGTGGCAGACGGGTTTCTAAGGCACAAGAAGCCAGTTGGTCTGGGCACCCACTGCAGCTTCACGCCCTACAAGGCACACATGGCCCTGGGCCCGGCTGGGCAGGCAGGGACCCTGCTGCTGCTGCTGCTGCTGCCAAAAATCAGCAAGGTGGACTAGATTTAATTTTTTAAAAAACAGGTAAACTGATTTCTCTTTAAAAAAATAAAATCTCTGGTCTGTTAAGGTCACTTCAGCTGCTTTTTAAAGTGGCTTTTCTGGAATGGTGGAAGTTGTCGCCAGGGAGCCCAGGCAAGGCACCTAGATGGTGGACTTGGAGAAGGACACTCGAAGGTGGTGGTTCTCTCCCAGGTCATGGTTGTGCAGGTCTATGAGGGCCTGCACTGCCTCCTCCACAGAGCCCATTTGGATCAGTGCCATCTTGCGGTCCTTCCTGCAAGAAGGCGGGTATCAGTCAAGACGAAGGGCAGAGGTAGAGCAGAGGCCATGAGGGGTTGATGGGAACCTATACTCACTGGAAGAACTTGAACCCCTTGACGACACCCCCATTGCTGGAGAAGAGGATCTTGAGGTCTTCCTCAGATATGGAGGGCCTATGGAGAGAGGGTATGAGGAGGAAGGCAAGTGCTTGTGTGGGGTCCAGGACAAGGAATACCCAACTGTCCTTTGAAATCTCAAAGGATTTAAGGAGCCAGGCACTGGTGGCTCACACCTTAATCCTAGCTACTTAGGTAACAGCTGGGCAATAAAGTCTGTGAGGGGCTCAGTGGTAGAGCGCTTGCCTTGCATGCATGAGGCCCTGGGTTCGATTCCCCAGCACCACATAAGCAAAAAGGAAAAAAAAAGCCGGAAGTGGCGCTGTGGCTCAAGTGGTAGAGCGCTAGCCTTGAGCTGAAGAGCTGAGGGACAGCACCCAGGCCCAGAGTTTAGGCCCCACGACCGGACCAAAAAGAAAAAATAAAATAATAAAAGTCTGTGAGACTCTTAACTCCAGTTAACTACCAAAAAAGCCAGAAGTAGAGGTGTGGCTCAAGTGGCATAATGCTAACCTTGAGCAGAAGTTCAGGGACAGTGCCTAGGCCCAGAGTCCAAGCACCAGGGATCAGTGTATGTGTGTGTACATGTATGTAGTGTCTCAGTGGTGGAATGCAAGGCCAAATGCTCAATACCTAGTCCTCAAAAGATGAAACACAAAACAGTTGGGCACGTGCCTACGATCCTAGCAGTCATAAAAGCATAAACAGCTACAAAGGAGGCTGAGATCAGGAGAACAGCAGTTCATGACCCCATCTCAGAAAAAGCTGAGTACAACCATGTGCACCTGTTGTCCCTGCTACAGTAAGAAGCCTGAGCAGGATTTCAATCAAGGACTGCCCAAGCATATTCATGTCTCTGCCTCTAGACAACCAGTGCACAAGTGGCTAAAGGTATAGCTCAACAGAATACATACATGCTTAGCCAGCTGACTTCAAACCCTAGTACTATACTAGCAAAGAGCAGCATCTAGTCACAGGTGACTATACATTCCATGTAGCTTCTATGAGAATGAAAGCCCAACATTTGCAGAAAATATTCCCGTGCTCCACTCCTCTGCTAGCTTAAGTGCTGGGGCCAGCTTGGTGAGTACACTGATCTGGCCCAAGGAGGCCTTAAGTGTTAGTCTGGAGGAAGAGCCTAAAGAAGCAGGCAGGAGCTGGGCGCTGTGGCTCACGCTTGTAGTTTTAGCTATTGAGGCTGAGATCTGAGGATCCTGGTTTAAAAGCCAGCCTGGGCAGGAAAGTCAGTGAGACTCCATTTATCTCCATTAAACTACTAGAAAACAGGAAGTGACGCTGTGGCTCAAGCGGTAGAGCACTCGCCTTGAGCTGAAGAGTGCAAGGACAGTATCCAAGGCCAGAGTTCAAGCCCCACAATCAACAACAACAAAAGCAGGCAGGACCGTGGCTTGTGTGGCCTGTGGCCCACCCCACAGCCCGACTAGACTCACGGGATGTTGGAGAGGTGCAGGGTAGCTGAGGGTGGGAAGATGTTCTGGAAATTCTTGGAGCCAGGCTTCTTGAACCGGTGTAGTGGTGAGTTGCCGTAGTCCTTGGTGAGGCCCTGGTCCTCCTGGCCCTCTCGGGGCAGCTGCACGCTCTGGTGCTTGGACAGGGTGATGCGGACAGGCTTCCCGTGCAGCTTGTGCCCATTCAGGTGGCTCATAGCTGGAGAGAGTCAGTTCAGACCCATGACCTACGTGCCCACCAGGCTTGGGCATAGCCCCAGCCTGGCCCTGTGCCCAGAGCTCTTACCCAGCTGAGCCTGGCTGCCGTCGGCCATCTGCACCAGTGCGTTCTCCTTTTTATTGAACAGGATCTTCACCCGCTGCACATCACCATAGACTCCTTCAAAAGCCCGGGACAAGGGGATCTGAGTGGTCCCAGCCCAGCCAGCCTCCCCACCCACCCAGCCCCACGCTCCCCTCCAGGCTCTGGTGGCCCGGCTGGACCCATTTACTTAGTCTGCCACCAGGGAGCCTGCGTCTAGCAGCCCAGGGCCGTCTAACAGGATGCTACATTCGGCAAGTCATGAACTGCAGACAGGTAACTGTCAGAAAGACCACTTTTGCATGCTAAGGACACGTTTAACTCGAGAAGCATGCAGGGCGGTAAACCATGCGTGTCTATGGTCAGATACAATCCGCAAACCGGAAGCAAACCACGTAACGTAACGAGGCAGAAGGCCAAACCGCAAACTCAATAGTACATCGCAGGGTGTAAAATAATCTCAATTAAATGAAAACAAGGTAATAAAAGGGTGAATAACATACCGAAAAGAATAAAGAGGCTTTGGGGTGTGACTCTCTTTAGAGGACAGCAGAGCAAGGCAGCGAGGGGACAGGGGAGAGGGAGAGGTCAAGGGGGCGAGGTGCCAATCGTCCACCACGAGGAGACAGTCCCCGCAGGCGAGCAGGTTGACGGATGATGAAGTTGTCAGGATGTTAATATTCAAGGGCAGGTTGGTTTCCGGAGAGCAGGGTTTGAGGGGGGAGTTTTGTTTTTATTTATTTATGTTTTGTTTTGTTTCAAGCAACAACAGGAAGCAGAAGAACCGTGCAGTCAGTTGGCAAAGAAATTCCGGATCAGGGCAAGAAAAAAATTGGGAAAGGGGAAGGGGAGAAAAGAAAAAAAAGTAGCAAAAAACACAGGTCAGTAAATACATAAGAAAATAAGGCAGTGTTCTCTCAGTCACACACACATACACACACACGTGCGCACACACACACACCAATACAGGCATGCACACCTCATGGCTCCGCTTGGAGGAGGAACACACCATCAAGGAGAAGCAGTGCACGGGCGCTGGGCTGGGCTGCAGGGTTGGCCTACCCCACCACTTCCCTAGTGGTGGTGCCAATGGCACCAGAGGGCCAGCCTGGTCACTGAGCAACATGGTTCCTACAGCTGCTGCAAAGCAGCTCAAAATGCCATGCCTGCAAGGCAGTGAGCAAGTGGAGG